TGTGTGGGTTTTATTTGTTATTTGATTTTTTTCTTCAAAGATTCCTAACATTGCAAAGAAGCTCGAAGAATTTAAGAAGGATGTGGAAGCTAAGAAAAAACCTCCCAGCGACAAGTCTTAAGAGACCAATGTTACCCAGGTCACCTCTGTGCATGCACCAAGGATGCAATTTACCTTTCAGGCAACAAAGATCAAGTAGAGGGTTGGCATGGGAGGTTCCTTCACTTTTAGTCTTCTAGAACTGGAATGTCTTTCTTTTGAAAGAGCAGCCGTGAACTTTTCCTGGGACTGATTTTCAAGGGTTTCAGAATTTGGATTTGCAGCTGATATGTGACTAGATAAGACCGTTTGTATTTTTTGTTATTGCTTTTCCTAATATTTTGTAACCCCTTTTTACCTGATCCAACTGGAGTCCCGTTAGTCCTGTTACTATGTGTACCTCACACTTTGTAATACCTTAGTTCTTAGACCATCATGAAAGAAATTAAATGCATCAATAAGTGACTTTCAGGGTTTCTTGTCGTTTGTTGTGAGCAGTGAGACTTCACTGTCCTTAAGATCCGTGTTCCTTTATTGGAGATGGGGAAGTTCATTTGTCAAACTGTGAACCTGGGGGAAGGGAGGAGCTCCTGCTTTTTCCATTATGTTAAATGATCCAGCAGTATAGACTTTGCAGAAACATGGCTGACTTCAAAAGCGTAAAAGGCCATCAACTTTAACCTAGGGTTTCAAATTCATTGTTTCTTCTATTATTGTCTCTTCCTCTTATTTCTCTTCTGCTTGGTTGCTTGCAGTTATCTCTGGAGCGATGGGGAGGATGGGAGAGAGGAGTTATCTTCCATAAGGGGTAATCGGGGCACGTAGAGTTACATTGCAGTTACATTGTGAATCCAAACCATTTACTTCATGTACATAATGGTCCAGTTTGTGTAATTGTTCTAAGTATACTTTTTTACTGCCTTTTGGTATGGAGCAAGGAGTAGAGCTCAGTATTTCTATCAAATGTCTGGTATTCCCATAAATTCGTCATTCCTGTGCATGGTCTTCAGCCCATTGCCTTCACATTTGGTTCAGTTGTCTACCATGCATTTTGTTAGGATTAGAACCGTTTATCTGCTGTCCCCTATATTGTCTGTCTGATATACTCCTCTTCACCCATTACTGCCACCAAAAACTCTGGTGTGTGAGAGAACGCACATGATATTGCAGCATTGTCCTCTTCTGTTTGAATGGAAAGCCAAGTCTCCATTTCGAAGCAATTGTTTTACACAAATTCTGTTATAAATTCTGAAGAAAATATTGCAGTAATTTGATTAGATGTAAATTTCTTTGATAGATTGTTGAATTAAGATAATCCATTTAATCTGTGTTTTTTTTTACTGTAAAATAGGAGAGTCGTATCAACTCTGTAAGGTGACTTAAATAATTGAATCACCTTGACAGTCTTTTGCTGAACATGAAGGGCAAATTTTCTATCTTCGCTACTAAATACAACAGTAACAGTAAAAATACTATAGACACTCTGCTTTCATCTGCTATACTGAAATTGGATTATTCTACTTCTTTGCATTGCTAATTTTGAGGATAGGTACCAGAAAGATATTCTCCTTGCTTTTAGTAACAGTGCCCAGTGATGAACCGCTACAGGCAAGCAGGAGGAACAAGCACAGAGAACTACCTCCTCCGCTCCTTCAGGCTCTTGGTTAAAGGATACCTGCAGTGCTTCTCCATCAGTGTTTCAATTAGGATAAGGAGTGTGGCTTCAAAAGGAATTGTCCTCTTACCATGTTTTCATTCTCATCACAGGAAAACTATAGAGCACATGGACTGGATTCCTTTCAGAAGAGATTAAACCAGAAGATGTGCTTTGATCTCTAGTGGGTCTTTAGCCCATGAAGCAGGCCTAGAGACATTCAGAGGGAAACTATCCCAAGCTTTGGGCACTGTTTTGCTCTGTAGACCCAGTGGACTGCGCTGTTTGAGATAAGTGTAGCCTGAAAGCTTTTAAGTACGGGACTCCTCATGTACACATTGTAATTTTCACTTTCCACCCTAAGGCCTTTAGTTAGGATACATCAGGCTGGATTTCAAGCTCAGGAGTTTTCACTGAATCAGCAAAGACACATTTACAGAATACCTTATGCCAAACTTTTGCTTCCTTTCCCAAAGTTTGATGGTGGCAGAGTTCACCCACAATGCAGTCCTGCCATTGAGGAAAGTGTTTCTCACCTAAAGACTCTCCTTCTTAAAGAATATAAATGTGTATATATATATATATGTCACCTGTAATTTCTCATAAAGAATATAAATGTGTATATATGTATACACAAACACCACCACCACCCCCCCAAAAAAAATTGAGCAGAGTGTTGAAAAATACTGGCTCTAACCCATTCACATTTCTTTGCTTGTCATATACAATTATGTTAGTGTTTAAAATTGGATTATTTATTTCCTCGAACATGCTTTATGTTCTTCCCTTTCTTTACACAGAGATGAGAAGGGAGATAATATTCAAAATCTCTGTATTTGTTGCCAAACAGGCCTCTGTTACTCTGAAAGTGTAATTTGGAGCTTGGACTTTCAGCTGTGCAGTCCAAGCAGATGTTGGTTGGTTGGTTTGTTTTTTTTTTTCCTGTTAGTTTAGGAAGTGAAGCAGCTACAGCTGTAGTTCTGTAGAAACAATGTATGCTCATTAATATTAAAGACAGGACTTCCTCACTGTTTGCAACACATTTCAGCTCAAGCTGTCCTTTTTGTCCCATATATTAATCTGGAGAGCTGGGTAACATTGTGACACAGTTCTTGTTGACTTTGCAACTACTGTGGAACACATTTTTCGTAACTGAGTCAGCCTGAGGCTATCCTAGATGTACTAAAGGTTAACCTCAGATTTCAGAGGGCACAGAATACTCATGGATAATGACTGCTCGATGCAGATCTTGCAGTTGTGGGCTCAGATGGGCTTTGGATGCAGTGTTGTCATAGCAGGTCACACAGGATGACTGCACCTTCCAGGTAGCTAGGAGCAATTTTCACACTTAACATGGATACTGTGAATTTCTGCATGTTCAAAATGCCTGTGTGGATAACTGGAATGGCCAGCTAAAATATACAGCCTTCCTTTGCTAAAAGCTCTTAGGATAAATACAGTTGTATCCATTTTCATATCAACACATCTTGGGAGGTGAAGATTCAAGGCAAAAGTAGAGGAAAGTGAACAGACTTCTAAAATATTTACGGTGGATTGAGACTGTTACCTTGTGATGGAAAATGTTGCCCTAAGGTTCTTGTAGACCATCTACCACTGAATACAGTAAGGAGTTAATACTGAAAATATATGAAATGCCAGATAGCAAAGCTAATAATTAGCTTGCTGGGCACCAGAGCTCAAGTAAAGGTGGTGGATTTACCTCACAGAGCTTTACTAACATGAGTGCTCAGTGGTGCCATTTTACATCATGGAACCACAGCCCCTTGTCTCATGATGCGTGCTCCATCCCTTGACCTTCATGGCCCATGGGCACTCCGGTATGCCCATGTACCTCTTGTACTGAGGAGTCCAGAACTGGACATATCAGTTCGGATGTGTTTCACCAGGGCTAAGAAGAAGGCAAGGATCATCTCCTCCCTCAGCCTGTGGAGTATGCTCTGCCTAATACAGTTTAGGTGCTGTTGGCCTTCTTTACCTCAAGGACACATTGCTGACTCATGTTCAACTTGTTTACCAGGACCTCCAGGTACTTTTCTACAAAGACGCTGTCCAGCTAGTCTGCTCCAGCTTGTAGTGTGTGTGGGATTATTACTCCTCAAATATCTTCTTCTGTTGAACTTCAAGAGATTTGTTTTGGTTCGTTTCTCTGGCCTCTGAAGGTCTTTCTGAATGACAGCATGGCCATCTTGTGCATCAGCCTCTCCTCCCAATTTTGTATTGTCTACAAACTTGCCAATGGTGCACGCTGTTCTATTGTCAAGGCCATTAGTAAATATGCCAGTGTTCAATAATTCAATACTGGCCCTGGTATTTTCCCTGGGAGTACACCACTAGAGACTGGCCTCCATGTGGACTTTGCAGTGCTGACCACAACCCTATAAGCCCAGCACTTCTGCCAGTTTTTGATCCGCTTTACTGTAGTCCATGCTTCCTCAATTTCTCTGTGAGGTTATTGTGGAAGGCCATGTCAAAAGCCTTGCCAAGCAACAACTCTCCTCTCATCCATCGAGCTAGTCATTTTGTTCTGCAAGTGCCAGGCTGGTCAGGCATTATTTCTCCTTCATTAATTCATGCTGGTTACTCCCAGTCACTTTCTTGTCCTTCATATGTTTAGAAACAGCTTCCAGAAGGATTTGCTCCATCACTTTCTGAAGGATTGATGTGTGACTGACCAGCCTGTAATTTCCTGTCTTCCTTCTTGAAGACAGGAGTGACATTTGCTTTATTCCAGTCCTCAGGGCCTCCCCTGGATCACCGTAACTTTTCAAAGAATACAGAGTGGCTTTGCAATGACATCAGCCAGCTCCCTCAGCATTTCTTTAGGTTTCCTTTTGCAGCCGGTGTGCCTACAAAGGTCCTTGGCTCCCTGTTTGGTAACAAGAAGGGCCTCTATAGGCATTCCAGGTGAGGCTGGCCAGGGCTATTAAGGCACTCAAGGCCCTGGCACTGGCTTTTCTAACCCCATCCAAGTCCGTTAAATCACTAATACCTCCACCCACCTTCTGTGGAAATGGATTGTACTGCGGAGGGATTACTCAAGGGCAGGGACAAATTTAATGAAGCCAGCTCTTTTTCTTTATGTTTTTACATTAAGTAGCATCATCTACATCAGAAACACTTATTATGAATTCAGGTAAAGATAGGTGACTCCTGTTAATGTAGAGTATCACTCTTCACAGTGATTTCTGATGAGTGAAGTAACATAATGGTGACTGGCAGCATGGGACATTTCCCAGTGGTGATGCTGCAGGGAGCTGTGGTATCACTCAAAAAATTTATTGCCTTTGTGAAGGCAGAATTTTTCCACTGTGGTTCTCCTTCATGGTTCTCCTTTGTCCTGTGGTGCTGGCTGCTGTGTTCATCACCGGCTGTTACGACTCCTGCAGGTGTACTTCTTTCTTGGAGAGATTTGTTACATGTACTGAGCATCTGGAAATGTTCTTTGAAGGGCCCAGACTTCTGTTGGCCCAGATTACAGATGGCTGTTAGATTACTGATGAAATTGAAATGTTGCAAAGGAAGAAATTGGAATTCTCAAAATTAATAAGGAGTTGGTTTCATAAGCCTAGATTATATCTGTGTTTGCAGAAACATGATGGCGAGTTGGTATTGATTTGTAAAAATCAATATCTGCTGTATGTGATGCAGATCATTTGAATATGAGGAAGTGATGGTGGATATTGGAGTGCGTATGTTACTGTTAAACTCCATAGAGAAATTTCCTGTACAGTTCTTTTTATTCTTGCCTCAGAGGGACAAGAAAGAGTTACTTAGTTCTGTTTGTTACA